CGCCCAAGCCATCGCAGCTGTAACTTCTCAATCTGGAGAAGCAAAGGCTGTAATCTGTAATCCAAGGCTCTTCCCGATGTCACTATTCCGGTCCATGTCGAGACGCGTAAGGCCAGCGACTCGTCTAAGAAAGCCCATTTCAGCAGCTTGTACCCGAGTTCAAAGTTTTTCAGTGATGGTCCACGATTCATGGCCGTTGGTAAGTATAGGGATAAAGGTCGACTTGAATACTGAGAGCTTAGTTTTCAGACTAAGCTCTGCTTTAGTCGCAATGGGTCGGGCTAGTTCACGCAGAACGCCGCTGGCTACTCCAATTCGTCGGTCGATCTCTTCCTCGAATTTTCCATCAGTAGTAACTGGAAATAAATATACACAAGAAATTTCTGTTTTGATTTGACCAGCTTCAGTTGCGGTATCAAGCCTTCATCAGTGAAATACCGAAACTCACGGATTCCTTTTCATCAACTGTAAAAATCGGCTGTACGATATTATGTCAATATCAGGTCTGGTCAGCAAGCTTGATCTTGACCGTTTTCCGTCTGGTACTCGGTAGGTAACAAAGAAATGAATTTTGGTTCTCCACACACCTGCTCAGAATGGCTTTGACAGCGAAAGTATATTCTGCAGAAGAACTGATACTTTTCAACACTTCTAGTCCACTGTCCTGATTCTTGTCGTCATATCTTCAATGTTCTGAATCAGGAAGACTTTTAACAAGATCCTTTCGAAGATGTTGAATGTCATTGCAATTACCATGCTCCCGCCAAGTCGATGTCATGTGACTTCTGTCATAATCTGATGATGATCTCGTTTACTGACTCGCGTGGACTCAGCATCTCTGATCAATGCACCGTAGGTTACAAGTCAATCAGTCGATTTGGTATGCCAAACCCGTTATATCTTCATTAGCAAAGATCTTAGCTTCCCTATAAACTTGTGGGCAACTCTGACCAGAGTTCGCTGCTTTAATAATCTTACAGATTCTGACAGATCTGAGAAGTACGATAGGCTGGTGGCAAATGCAGCTTTGATCTAAGTTTTTGTTCAATTGGTGCCTCGATGCTTAACGGATGAACTTTCTTGAGTGATGCATTTTGTTTCAATACGTAATGCTATGTTTTATGGGTGAATTATTAAATGTTCGTTCATCAAAGGAGCGAATATCAGTTCGTACCGTGCCAAGTTTTTCATTCTTGGCTCGTTGTTTCAGGTGTAATGAATCTGCTGATCGATGGTACAGGGCAGCAAACTGAATCAGTGGTAGGAATTTGATTGCCGACGGGTTCTGCTGCCGCACTGGCAGCATCTTCAGGGTATAACTGATTAGGTTGTCTACAAGTCGCTTTATCAATACGAACAAAACGAAAAGTTAGCAACAACATGGAATATGAGTGACAAATCTGGGTCAGTGGCAGATTCAGTCCAAAGGCCTAATTCAATTTAGTAACAGTACCATAAAAGTCGTTTCGTTATTTTTTGTGCAGTAACATGAGGTCACTTTTTCATAAGAAGACCAAGTCTAATATTCTGATATGCATGGCTTAAAAACCAGAGTCATTCCTTTATCACGCTTTGTTTTCTATTGAACACCGAGGTGCTTTGTATTCGTATGCATACACTTTAATAAGTCTTGTCTGCGTTCGCCGTGGCAGAGTATAATCATGTCTAGAAAAAGTTAACTTTGATTTAAACGCAAAAATTAAAATGAAGATGAAAATTATATCGCCATACATAAATAGAAGGTGGGCAAAGCTTAGCGGCCATTGGACGTGATGGTGGATTCACACAGTCAGCTCTGAATTCAATTATGAAAGATTCTGCATGAATATGATATCGAAGAATTGGTTCACTCCATGGGGATAAACTATCGAATGAAGAACTGCCTCATTTATAAATAGCAAAAATTGCTGAAGCAGGGACTTCGGAACTGAAGAGTTCTGTGACGAAAGAGTTGACATTCGCGTTCCATGAGATTTCAGTAGGCGTAGCGCTGCTGGTAAAGATGGATCTTCATGCCTCATCGTTCTGACAACTGCAAAGATAAACAGATGTCATTTATGCCGTGATCGAGTGATTTATGAGGAAAAGAATGAATCAGTGGTACTTGATAATTTCACCAGGATGGTCGAATGGTCAAATAAGCCTATTTTTACTGTTATGTTAGTTACCTTGCCGGATCGTCCTTTGCCGACCCACTGTTGGGCGAACTCAAGACTTACTTCGTCAAGAAGTTTTGTTTCCTACCGTCTACATATCTCTTGATCCATCGAACCTATTCTGCCATCGATTCAGTGATATTCTTGCGAGTCGCTTTCTCTCTCCTGCAACAAAGCCTACTTTCTCGTTCGTCCAGCAGTGGTCTTTTCTTCTCGCAACGTGCCCCCTGCCAATTTCTACTTGAATTTCTTCACTTGAGCAGTGACACCGCGGACTCTTGTCAATCCTCTGATCCACTGATTCGTCTTCGTATTTCTTCTTGCCATTTTCGGCACACATCTTTCCAAGCTGCGTCGCCTGTCTGTAGTTCATAAACAATTTGCAGGCTTAGGGTTCACGTTTCGCATTCATATGTCAGTACTGAAAACTCATCGTTTCGAGCACAAACACAGTTTCCCGGATAGAAACACTTTCAATTATTTCCTTAGTATTTTTATACTTCTACTGATTTCATAGCGTTCCTTCTCATCTGTAGAGATGACCGTACCTCGTCGCCATATCTTTGGACTTCTTGAAGCCTAATGTCTTGACTTAAACTGATCTTCAAGTTCATTTTCAGGCTATTTTCATGCTGATGTCGTTTTGGAGCTTTACTGGCTACGTTGAGAAGATGAGAATGCCGCAGAGTGGCTTAATCAGTGTCCATCTATGCTCACTGTCTAATTTTCCAAACGGGGTGTCTTGAGACCCTCTTCTATGGCTGTAGTGAATATTGCATTGCCCTATCGATCACACTTCTCCATTTTGAATTTACTACCACTTTGTTGTGGCTTGACATTAGCAGTTACATTTTTGCAGATCTTGGTTTCGAAATCTTTGCATCTTGGCTCATCAAGG